CGCGGAGCTCGGCTTTCAAGGGGGCCCCGTCTTCCGCGAGGGACTGGTTGCAGGGACGCTTGCGGATGGGATTTGGGACGGGAAGGTACGTTGCAGGATCGCGGGCGCATCGTGCACTTCCCTTGTAGGGGGCCACATGCGAACCCCTACCCTTACCCCCCTCAGGAATCGCTGGAGGCAAGGGTGGGTGTTCGCATGTGGCCCCATACCCTGGTCCCTCCTCTTCCTCCTTTTCCTACTGGAAGCAAGGAGGAGTGGCCCCCCCTCCCCGTCACCCTCTCCAGCTCCTCACCCTCACTCCTCTCCCTCCCTCCCGCTCGCCCGCTCCCTCTTCCCCCTCCTCGCCGTCCTCCTCTTCCCCGTCCTCGCCGTCCTCCCTGGGGCAACAGGCCCCAGGCTACTTCCACGCGCAAGCAGCATTGGCTTGGTTGAGGGCCCGACCCTCAGCAGCTGCGTGTAGCGCAGGGTGTGGCCCTCTCCTCATACTTGCACTACGCCTGGCAGGATGTGTGAAGTTCGGGCCCCTATAGGAGGAGGAGGAGGAGGAGGAGGAGGAGGAGGAGAGGAGGAGGAGGGGGAGGAGGAGGAGGAGGAGCAGGAGGAGGAGGATGAGGAGGAGGAGGGGAGGAGGAGGAGGAGGCGGGGGGGGGGGGAGGATAATGATGATGAGCTGATGATGCATGATGATGATGAGGAGGAGGAGGAGGAGGCGGGGGGATGATGATGATGATGATGATGATGATGATGATGATGATGATGATGATGATGATGATGATGATGGTGGTGGTGGTGGTGGTGGTGGTGGTGGTGGGTGGTGTGATGATGATGATGATGAGGATGAGGATGAGGATGAGGATGAGGATGATGATGATGATATGATGATGATGATGATGATGATGATGATGATGATGATGATGATGATGATGATGATGATGATGATGATGATGATGATGATGATGATGATGATGATGATGATGATGATGATGATGATGATGATGATGATGATGACTGATGATGATGATGATGATGATGATGATGATGATGATGATGATGATGATGATGATGATGATGATGATGATGATGAGAAGGAGGAGGAGGAGGAGGAGGAGGAGGAGGATGAGGAGGAGGAGGAGGAGGAGGAGGAGGTGTAGCCCCCGATGCGGGCGCGAGACGTCTGGAGTGCGCACTGGGACTAGCAGGGGGCAGCATGCCCGCGCGCCCACTGCGCCGCGTGCCAGGAGGGCTTCCCATGGGGGCACGAGTGCCGAAGTAGGCGCGGGACGGCATGCGAACACGCCCACGAGGACCTTCGTGAGGCTCCTGGTGGGGGCACAGAAGATTTGGGGTGTGTACCGAACTGCGCGCGGAACGGCATGTGAACACCCCCACCTGAGGCTGGAGGTTGAGGTCCGTATGGGGGCAAGAAGCGTTTTAGGGATGTGCCAACACGGAGAGGATGGGGGGCAGGAGGAGAGAGGGAGGGAGAGAGGGAGAAAGGGATAGGGATAGGAACAGAGAGCGAGAGATACAGAGACAAAGAGAGAGAGAGAAGGAGAAAGAACATAGAGAGAGAGAGAGAGAGAGAAACAAACAAACAGCAAAGGGGGGAACAGGAGTTGAGGCGATGGTAGGGGCGCGGCGCTTCGGATTGAGAGCATGGGCCGCACAGCACAGCAGGACTGTGGAACGAGCCAGAGAAGGAATAGGCGGAGGAGGATAAAGGAGGGGGGGAGACGGATGGCTGAGGGTGAGGACGAGGACGACGGCGAAAAAAGGAAGGTGATAGCAGTGCCGTCGATGCTTCCTCCTGGGCGCCCTCCTCCAGGAGGATGAATATTCCGTTGATCCTTCCCCTGGGTGCGTTCCCCATCAATTAGCTCCTCACTCCCTCCGCACTCCCTCAGCCTCCTGCTCCCCCCCCAGGAGGATGACAATCCAGAGCCTCCTGCTCCCCCCCTCATGCTCCTGCTTCCCCCCTCATCCTCCTGCTCCCTCTCCCAGTTTCCGCTGACTCGCCCTGCCAGAGCGGCCTGCGGAGTATGATTATGTTGGCGCTCCTTTGCGTGTCCGGCTGTGCGTGTAAGCTCGTGTCTCATGCCAGCCACCAGGTGGCCGCCTTACGCATATGGCTTCTCGCCTCTCTCCGTCCTGCCCACCTTCTTCCTTTTCGGCCTGGTCTAGCATAGTGAAGTCGCCCTCTCATCAATAGGGAAGATGGTAATTTTCATCACCAGGCCTTCCCCCAAACAAATCTGCCCGTCGATCCTCACTCTGCACAAACTCCCCCTTGCCGCATCACGCCAAACCTCATCTCCATCCTCCTCCTGCCCCCTTCCTCCTCCCCACCCTCCCGCGGCCCCCTCCGTCCTAAGTCTCCCCGCTCCCTGAGATCCAACGTTGCGACAAACTTACAACCAAGTGAAAAGCCACAGCCGGAGCTCTCTCCTGCGGCATTTTCGAGCCAGAACGATCCTTGAGGGCCCCCGAGGGCCTGGCAAACCAGGCAAACACGCCCGCGGTGCGAAAACACTGCGGCGCCCAGATCTCAGGGGTCCCCCCCCCGCCGACCGCCATGGCCGCCCCACACCAAGCCTCACTCCCATCCTCCTCCTGCCCCCTCCCCCCCTCCCTCCCTCCCTCCAACCCTCCCTCGTCCCCCCCCTCCTCCCCCATCAGGTGCAGGGGTTGGAGTTACCACCACAATGCGCGTACCTACTCAGAGTGGTTCCCGACCAGCTATGCCGCCACTTGGAGGCTGGTGAACGGCTCGGACCATCCTTATTTTTTCGGCGGCGGGCGCGGGGGGGAAATGAGAAGGGGCGGGACTTCCGAGGCTTCTGAGAAGTTTCCGGACTTCTGAGAGGGCTTCTGAGAAGTTCAGTCTGTGTTCGAAATAGGCTAAGGAGACCTCTCAGAAGTCCCCCGGACTTCTAAGAAGTCCCGCGGCCTTCTGAGAAGGCCTTCTCCTTCTCATTTCCCCCCTGGGCTCGTCGCCTATTTTTGGACCCAGACCTCAGCCTCTCCTGGCAAAGAGACCTGGACTTGGGAATGCATCCGCGTCCCGGGCCGACCCACTCCGTCATCGTCGGCGGCGGCGCCTTCGCCCGAGCTTCAGAAGGAATCGAGCGGGGAGGCAAAGGTCGAGCCCATTGCCAAGTGTTCCAAGTCCTCTCACGTGTGAGGCTGTACGCACTGAGGTACGGATGACTGGGTTATGGAATCGAGGTGGAGGGATTCCAGTCCGCAGTCCTCTCTTTAAGACTTGCCGAGCTTGTGCTCTGCGCGCCTTTGTCTAGAGGTGCGCGCCCCGTTGCACGGCACACTGGAGACCTCTTTGGTCGTATGTACGAGTGTTTTTTTGCGTGCCTCCTCCTCTGGATTCAATCTCGAAGCACGACTCTGCAGCGATCTGCCGCGAAGCCCAACAAAGAGAATGGGAAGGCTAACGCGTGACATAGTAATGTGTTGTGTTGTCGCTCGTGGTCTTTTTTTCCTCGCCTCTTGGCGTTTGGTATTTGGTGGGGGATCATGGTTGGGGAAAGTCTCGTGCACAGGCTGCGCATTGAAGAAGCGCTGATCCTGGTGGCTCCGCATTCGGTTTTAATTCCAGAGGCACATGCCAAGTCGCACAGCGATCGGAGACGTACATCCTCGCCTGTACGTCGCTCCTCCCGCTTGCCTCCTCCGGAAATTCAGTTCGAAACCAGACAGAATGGGAATGTCAGCGCGCGACATTCTTATCTTTAGTGCTGCGGCTCATGCACGTTTTCCCTGCAGGACGTCCCTAGCCGAATCTCTTCCTCGCCTCCCCTACCTAGGTGCTCATGGCCTTGCGGCCTTACATCTCCCCTGAAGAGGTCTCTTAGATTCCTTTGTCCTCCTAGGCATGGCCTCTGCGCGGTCGCGCCTCTCCAGGCGTCCGCGAGCCATGCATGTTGGCGCTACCGCGCACGTATTTACCTTCTGGCTGCAGGGATATGCTCGAGGCGCATGCCCAGTCGCACTGCGATTGGATACCTCCATCCTCGCATGTCCTTTATTTTCCTCTGCTTCCCCCCATCCCAGAATGGAAGACATTGGTTTTGCAAAGCCAAACCTGCCTCGGGAAGTGTCTGGGAGATTGCGTCCCCCCAGGCATGGCCTCTGCATGGGCCCACCTCCCCAGGATCCCATGCGCCAGTTCTTCCTTCGCACATTGGCCCAAGCAGCTCTTTCACGAGTCAGCCGACTGCCTAACCAGGATAATGTGATGGTAGGCTACGGCTCAAACGGAGGCGCGACGGTTTAAACCGCCGACCATTTTCCCATTTTCCCCTTTCCTCATTACTCAGTCTCCCCTCCTCACGGTTCTTGCTGGCCACAGGGCCCTTTCTCTGGTGCTTGTTCAGGCACATTTCGACGCAGCCTAGCTGCTTAGCGGGACAAAGCCTGACACCACGGGTCACCCGCCTATTTGCCAGAATATGGCCCCACTGTGGCCTCTGATTGCAGGCGCGCGCGCGCGTCTCAGCGCTAGCTGCCGCCTCTGGCTGTTGGCGATAGTCTTAAGATCGCCGTGGCCCCTGTCCTTCTTCTTTTCATCACCTCTTCCTTCACTGTTCTCGAGGCAGCCACCGCTTGCTGCAGGGCATTTCACATTGGCTTGCGCAAGCGAGGACGCCGGCGTGCAGCTTTGATCTGGTTGCTGGAGGTGCGTGCCACCCTTGCCCGCTGTGTTAGCGACATGACGACATATTGTGGAGATCCATGCCAAGAAACACCTTGCTTGCCAGCAGGGTACCCTGGGTTTCTTGGGTTTCGATGGTTTGCTGCTGATGGCGTGACGTTCCCACAACAACAAATCCATGGACGTCCTGGGGTCTCAGGGTTGGGTTTCTTCTGGAAGGTTTCTTGTGGACTGGCCTCCACTGTACAGTCGATGTAGCGCCAGGCTGGGTCTCGACTTCCTCCGAGTCATCCTCCCCCCCTCCCGAACCCCCGCCGCTCCCTTGTCGACCGCCATGGCCGCCCCGCCCCCTGGCGCCGCGCACGGCGCCACGCCCGGCCGCGCGGCGCAGCACCCGCGCCAGCTGCTGCTGCAGGCCGGGCGGGGCCAGGACTCCACCTCCTCCTCCTCCTCCTCCTCCTCCTCCTCCCTCTCCTCCTCCTCCTCCTCCTACCTCCTCCCGCCTACGACCTCCTCCTCCTCCTCCTCCTCCTCCTCCTCCGCCTCCTCCTTCTCCTCCGCCTCCTCCGCCTCCGCCTCCGCCTCCGCCTCCTCCTCGGACCATGATGAGGATGGATATGTGCCCCGGTCTCTTAAGCGCTCTGGAAATTGTCGGGCGTATCGCAATGGGGGGGGCGATGGATGTAAGGCTAAGGGGATCGTGCGATTCGAGCTCGCTGGAACTCGGAGTTGCCAGCGCTTGTGGACGAGCCCGTCCTGGATTTTGACGGTGCAGTTTTCGTTGGACGTTTGCAGGGAGAGTTCGCGTCAAATTTCAGATTGGGTTGTCATTTTTCTGATGGCCCCTTCGGAGAGAGAGAGAGAGAGAGACAAAGCTGAGTGCAAAGCACATGAGCACAAATGCCGTGGCCTTACAATGCGTCGCAATACCGCTTCACGGTTGCGCGCCAGGCTGCGGCAGAAATTACGCTATCTTGCCAGAGCAGCGGCAGGGCCTCCTCACCCCCCGCGGCCCGGACAGCGTGCGCAAAAACAGTTTCGATCCAAGTTTCCCGGGGGCGCCCCCGTTTTCGCTTGAAGTTATGTGCTATAAGTTGGCATGACAAAGGGCGTAGGACCAGGCACCTGACCCGGTCATCAGCTGGCTTCCGGGCAATATGCCCCATGAGCAGCAGCTGACGATTCAGCAAAGTATTGCTCAGTGGGGCAGCGCCTGCTTGCTCCAACACACTTGAATTTGTTACGCGGCTAGTGTACGAGTGAGGTATGCGAAGTATCTGCCTCAAGCATCTCACGTGGAATGCGTCGAGCTTCTTCGTCCCCGCCTGGTTCAGGAAGGCCGTGTGCAGACAATACAACAGTTTACTGAGAATGCAAGCGTTGAACACCTCCAGCTTCCTTGACTGCGTCAGCGTGGAATGGCCCCACACTCGCTTCAACTTGTCGAATTCCGCCCGCGCGGCACCAAGTCGGCGGGAGAGTTCAGGGCCGATCTTCCCGTCGCTCGACATCAAGCTGCCCATATATTGAATGCTCTCTTTCTGCGGCACCCAGGAACCGTCTGGCCTCGAAATATGCGCATTACAGCCAACGGCTAGAACTTCCAGCTTGCGCCAATTGAACTATAGCCCGTACTGCGATCCGGCTTTCTCGATGCTGCGCATGTATGCCGTCGCTGTATCGGACTCGCCAGACACAAGCAGTGCATGTGTCGTCGGCGTAGACCAACTCATGCACCGCCTGGGAGGGGTCCAGCAGTGGCCCGGCCTCCTCCTTCGCGTCTCGCAACAACACGGTCATCACGATTGCGAATAGGAATGGCGACAGCGGGCATCCCTGGCTGATGCCGAATTCCTGCGCCCTCGGCGCCGAGGTCGAGCCGGCATCCCGTACACAGAAACTTCGCTCCCGGTAGATCGCCCGCACCACCTCCACGAATTTCGCGGGCACGCCAAATCTAACAAGAGCTAGTGCTAGAGACTCCGGGGAGACGCTGTCGAAGGCTTTCGCCCAGTCGAGAGCCAGCAGGACGACCTGCCCGCCCTTCTCGGCCCAAGTTCTTTCAAGAATTCGCCGTACCAGAAAAATTGCGTCCGCTGTTCCGTGCTTGGACTTGAAGCCGAACTGAGTTCGCCAAATTCGGCTCTCGGCCCCGCCCGCTTTCAGCCGGCCAAGCAAAACTGCAGCGAAAATTCGGTAGCCCACGGCCGTCAAGGAGATGGGCCTGTAGTTTTCACACTGGGCCACGTCTCCCTTCGTGAATATTGTTGCGACCAGCGCCTCGTGCCACTCTGCTGGAACTGTTGCGTCGCTCCAGCACTTATTGCACAGCTCGACAGCCCATCTGCAGGCAGGCGTCCCAGCTCGGCAGATTGTCTTCCAAAACTCTGGCGGGATATCGTCTTTGCCAGAGGCCTTGCCTTGCTTCATACGTGCAGCAGCGCCAGCGACTTCGTCTTCGGTGATTGGGCCACATGGCACGGCAAGCTCGTCGCCAAGGGGGTCCCCGTCCGGCGCTGCGCTTGTCGGCCGCACTGCCCATTGGACTTTGCAAAGGTACTCTGCCATTGTGTCGGCACGTTGGTCGGAGTCAACAAGACGACCTTTCATGTCGGCTAATCGGCCTTGCTGGGCTTGCGTTCCTTTTCTCAGGGTGCGTATCGGCGCCCAGTCTCCAGAGGCGAGTTGGCTCTCTAAACAATCCGAACGGTCCGCCCGGACGGAATCTCTGACAGCTCGGTGCAAGCGCCGCTCTTCCTGCGTGTTCCCGCGCGCTCTCGCTGAGTCTCTCTGGTCTATGAACTGGAGTGTCTTGTCAGAGATCCATGGTCGCCGCGGTCTCCTCGTTAGAGTCGGGAGAACGTCTTGGGCAGCACAACGAAAGGCATCTGTCATGCTCGACGCGAGCTGCTGGACGCTCGCGCCCCCGTGCTCGCACCCGCTTGAGCTCATGTGGTTACAGAAAGCATCGGAGAATGTGCCCGCCACCATTTCGTCCCGAAGCGCGCCAAGCTGTCGTCGAGGCTCGCGGGGGCCGCTGTCTTCGCGCGGGACGTCCACGTCCAGGGATGCAGCCACGAGAAAATGATGCGACGCGATCGCCCTGTGTTTGACGCTTTGCACACACTTCAAGCACCCGAGCCACTACGATCGCCAAGTCCAGCTGTCCGTAGTTCTGATGGATTGGGGGGTCCGCCGGCGAGTGTCCTATATCATAGTAAGTAATCTGGCGCTCCAGAGGCTCGTCGAAAACTGTGTTGCCGACAGTGAGTTTACGAGAGGTGCAAAGTTCGAGCAGGAGCGTTCTGTTTGATTCCGGGTTGTGCTGCGCTTGCGGGTTCCCGAAAATGAACGGCCCCAGCACGTCCTCTTCTCCGGGGAAGCGCCTGTGCATTCTGGCATTAAAATCAGCAAATAGCAGCACCGGTCCGTGGGCGGAGTGGCTGCCGAGGAAGCTGGCCAAGTCGGAGAAGAAAGCCTGCCAGTCGACGAATGACTTTCCATTGTGCGGGGCGTAGGCGCTGCAGATGACGATTTTGCCCCCGCGGGCCCGCAGTTTGAGGGGCGCCATTCTCGAAGAGGCCTGTCTGAAACCAATAACGCTGCGACGTGCCAGCGGAGAGATCAGGAATCCAACTCCTGCCGTTGCTTCCGGTTCGTCTTCTGCCGTGCCAGACAGGATAAGGAGGAAGCCCCCGTCTGTGATCTCATACTCGGATTTGCCCTTGCGCGTTTCCTGAATGCAGAGAATGCTGATGTCCTCCTGCTGCATGTGCCGCTGGAGCTCTACAACCTTTGTCTCTGTAAGCCCTTCCACATTTCAAGTCCCAACTTTGAACTCCCGGCCAGAGACGGCAAGCCGGCCGCCTCGAAGAAGTTCTGCTTCATACGACCTTGTTGTGCAATCGGTAGATATGGTACCAAAATTTGAGCTTGCAGTGTGTGGAACTACAGGTGCTCTGGGTGAAACTGTGGGGGAAACTGTGCTCATGTGCTGTGTTTCCTAGTGCCCTTTGGCACCGCCCTTCTGCCCCTTCGAGCCCTTCATGCCCTGACCAGCTCGGGACAGCATGTCCGTGTTCTTCTGTATGAGGTCTTGCACGGCTTTGTTGTTGTGCAGCTCCTCCCAAGTCTTCCAGTCGCCGTGCCACTCGTATCGCACGGCGTTGTCGTCGACGTGGACAGTCACCGCCTTCTCGCCGCCAACTGTGAGCAGGTACGGAGCTTCATCGGAGATCTTCACGTGGTAGTTGATCCGCCATTCGTTTTTGAACAACCGCCCCTTCGGGCCAATCCGAATCCCCCGAAAACGAGTTTCACGTCTCCCCGAAATTGGGGGGGGGGCTCACGGTGCAGGAAAGGGGCCATACAGAGGCCCTTTGGGGCCCCGAAGGTGCGCGAAAGGGGCGATCACCACGCCTGAGCGGTATCGTCAGCTGTGCTATGGAGCACGAGATTGGGGTTTATGGTTCGCTGCGTTCTGGAACGCTTAGCTTAGATCGCTCCAGGGCGCTCTCGGAGCGCTCTCGAGGCGCTCCAGACAGCTTACAACGCCTGAACGGTCGTCAGCTGTGCTATGGAGCACGAGGTTGGGGTGTATGGTTCGCTGCGTTCTGGAACGCTTAGCTTAGATCGCTCCATCGGCATCACCCTAACATACTTATACTATATGTGCTTCGCCACCCCGGAGGCGACGCGCGCACCGAGACATCTTATAGTATATGCGTCGTGGGGGGCGCTTTCTGGCCACACCGCTCGGGAAGCGATATACTACAAGATGGGTATACTATATGTTCGGGTCGGACGCGCGCCTCCAAGGAGGACATATAGTACTAGTATGTCTTTGTGCTTCCCACTCCAGGGCGCTCTCGGAGCGCTCTCGGGGCGCTCCGGGCAGGCCTCGGCGCCCGATGCATCCTCCAGAACCGCCGGATCTCAGAGATCACCACCGTGTCCGGGTCTGGCTTTCCAGATCTGGGAGGCTTGCTTTCTCTTTTATAACACTTGCTCCCCATGAATCAGAGCCCCTAATCGTCAGGGGTAACTCGGGTCAGGGCTAACTCGGGTTCGTTTTTCGGGAATCCGAACCCGACTTACCCCGGACCCGAGTTACCCCGGATAACTCGGGCGTCCAGAACCCCAAAATCATCAGGGATAACTCGGGTCAGGGTTAACTCGGGTTCGTTTTCCGGGAACCCAAACCCGAGTTACCCCGGACCCGAGTTACCCCGGATAACTCGGGCGTCCAAATGAAGTCCCGACCCTTTCTTCAGCTTGGGTCTTTCAAGCCAGGTCGTTTATCGACAGCCCTGGGACCCGGCGATGGCCTCCGAATGGCGAAGAGGGCCAACAGCTTCCTGTCGTGATTTGGTAGCGAAGCTGCGCTGAGCAGCATATCTTATGAGAGGCAAGTTGCACTCTCCAGTAAAATTGTGGTCCTCCCTGATGATAGCTTGTTGCGAACGCTCACCTGGGATCCACAGTCAGCCGAGCCTCGGCGCTGGGACCTCTGCCCGAAGCGCGGGAGGACGACGCGGCAATGGGCTGCTTGCGTCCGCAACCCATGCGATGTGCATTGGCGCGTGTGTTCTCTTAATTGCCTTTCCTCGTCCTCCCTCCCTCAGCGAATGTTCCACCCATCACGTTTTAGTCTGTCAATGCGACGCATTGGCGCCAGCCGAGAAGGAGTCGGAGGAGAAGGAGGAGTCGGAGGAGGAGGAGGATGCGGAGAAGGAGGAGGAGGAGGAGGAGGAGGAGGGGAGGGGGGTGAAGGGGGAGGGGGAGGGGGAGAGGGAGACGAGGAGGGGAGGAGGAGGAGGAGGAGGAGGAAGAGGAGGAGGGAGGAGGAGGAGGACGAGGAGGCTGAGGCGGAGGAGTAGGAGTAGGAGTAGGTGGAGGTGGAGGTGGAGGAGGAGGAGGAGGACGAGGTGGAGGCAGAGGGGGAGGTGGAGGGAGGGAGGGAAGAGGAGGAGGAGGAGGAGGAGGAGGAAGAGGAGGAGTAGAAGCCGAGTAAAAGGTCATCCCGAGGCTGGAAAGCTCTTTCATGAAAACCGCCGAGCACTTCCAAAAACCTCGAACCTCGAGCTTACCCCCTCCCTAACGCTGCCCTTCGAGTTGTTTCGTCCACGACGCGAGCGTGTCCGACCTGGCTGCGTCTCGGCAGGCGTGCCAGCCTACGCCGTGGCCGGCGCCCGGAGCTCTCCGGGGGCGCATGGTGCCCAGAATTCCGAGGCGAACCCGGCCATGGCGGCGAGCAGGCCCCCAGAGGCTCACGGGGGCAGAAGAGTTGCCAAAACTCCGTCCTCGATCATCGTCGCTGCCGTCGGCCGCTGTCGCGGCCGTCAGCCCCTGCCTGTGCCTCCCAGACGGGGTCCGAGCGGGCGGGGTGGGAGGATCGCACCGCATCTCCGATGGGCCCGATGTGGAGCCCGACGGCTCGCGCCGATGCACCGCCGATGCATCGGTGATGCGGCGCGATGCTCCGACCTCAACTGCTCGGACGACCACGTTTGGTGCAGGAGGAGGAGGGGGAGGAGGAGGAGGAGGAGGAGGAGGAGGAGGAGGAGGAGGAGGAGGAGGAGGAGGAGGAGGAGGAGCAGGAGGAGGACGAGGAGCACGAGGAGGACGATTAGGATGAGGAGGAAGAGGAGGAGGCTGCAAAACAAGGAGGAGGAGGAGGAGGAGGAGGAGGAGGAGGAGGACGATGAGCATGAGGAGCTCGAGGAGGACGATTTGGGAGGCCTCAGTGGTCACCTGGTCCGACATGGCGTCGCCTCCGCAGGTGCAGCGAGCGGCCCCTGGCGCGCTGCGGCCCGGCGGTGCGGCCGGCTTCCGCTGCTGTTGGCCGCCGTGCGCGGGCGAGCCGCTGGACGACGCCACGGCCCCGCGCCGCGCGCCGTCCGTCGGCCACGCGCAGAGCCTGGCATCGCTCGGGCGTGTTTTTTTTTGTTTCTCCGCGAGGGCCTTCGGGGAGCCTCCTCGGCCATCGAGCAACAGGAAACAGCGCGCGGAGCCGAAACATGCACGGGGGAGGGACGTCCGAGCGATGGCAAGAGAGGGAGGGGCGACCAGGCCGAGCCCGGCGTAGCGAGCCATCCCCTTTTGGTGGCTGTTGCAGTGGGGCCGGAGGGAGGCCTGGAGGGGGAGGGGTTGGGGGTGGACAGAACCCCCCACAGCGACACGTCGATCAGTGCATTGTCCGTTCTCGGTCCTCGAGAGGGCGCCGCGGCCGTTATTGTCCAGGTCTGCGCCCGCCAGGTTTGGGCCTCAGGTCGTTTTCACTAAACCACGTTTTGCTAAAGGGAGGTCTGTCCATCCCCGAAGGGGGACGACACGGAAGGTGTTCGTCACGGCAGGGGTCGGTGAGGCCACGGCCGAAGGGGAGGTTGGCGGGAGGGGGGACGGCTTCTTAGAAGCACCCCCTTTTCTTTAGAAGGCGCGGGTGCCCCTTCTAAGAAGTTGGTGGTTTCTTCTCGGATGTTGTTCCTGGTTCGCTTCTGAGAAGCGGGTGGGTTGCTTCTGAGAAGTTGCCCCATGGTTCTAAGACGCCGTCGGGGTGCTTCTACGTAGCGGCGCGTCCCTTGCTTCTCAGAAGAGCGGCCGGCGCCGTCTAAGAGGCAGCCTCCTTCTGAGAAGCTCTCCCCCCTCCCACGCGCCGCCGAGTCCGTCTTGAGGAAGCCTCGGCGGCGAAGTCCGAACCCTGCACTCGCCGATCAACGCTTTCGGCAGCTCGACGGGTGGCGGGGGCAGGGTTCGGAACTCGTGAAACATGTGGCTAGATCCGAACCCTATCCCCACTCTCTATCGGTTCAGGACAATCGATGTGGTTGGTCGGGGTGGGTTCGGATGTCGCCACCTAAGAAGCATAAGCTTTGAAAGCTCCGCGCGGATTTCTTGGATCGGCACTGCGCCCCCCTCCCTGGCGCGCGGAACGTCCAGGGGGCGGCGCCGGAGGCGCCGCCAGGGAGGCCCAGGAAATCCGCGCGGAGCTACGGCAGGTTCTGTCCACGCCGTTTCTCTTCCTACAGTCAGTCGGCCGTTCGGGGCTGGGGCATCCTCGCGGCGGGGAGAAATGCCGGCGGGAGTCTTCCAGACCTCCGACGATAATGATGTTTCAATCCTGGAGGTTTCCCTGGAGTTTGGCCTCCGCCTCCCGTTTTTGTTGGGCCCCTGGGCAACCAGCAGTCGAACAGCCTACAGCCGTGCGGGGACCGCACCGTGTGGTGAGCGGGTTGGAATTCGGGTTGGGCGCACGGTCTGAGGTCTTGGGGCTCGTTCTGCGAGGCTCACTGACCCCCCGTTGTTGGCAATCTGTGTCGCAGGGAGGAGGGGGGGGGGGGGGGGAGGAGGGAGGAGGGAGGGGAGGAGGGAGGAGGGAGGAGGGAAGGAGGAGGAGGGAGGAGGAGGAGGGGGGGAGGAGGAGGAGGAGGGAGGAGGAGGAGGAGGAGGAGGAGGAGGGAGGAGGGAGGAGGGAGGAGGGGAGGAGGGAGGAGGGAGGAGGGAAGAGGGAGGAGGTGGGCCCAAGGACCTCGTCCCCGTGCGGCGACGGGCCGTGCCAGGTCAGGTCTCTCCTGGGCTGTTTTGAAGCCCGCGGTCGTACGCCGCAGGGTTCTGGGGCCCCCGACCCAGAGACGGCCCCGCTCGGCCCAGAGGACCACCACCCACCAAACCACCCCAACCCAACCCGAAAGCATAGATTTGCCCTCGATTTCTATAGTGGGGGGGGGGTCCGGGAACATCGAAAAAACACACATGGAGACCATACCCCCCCCCAAACCCGAAATTCGGGTCTTCGGGTTGGGTTGGGGTGGTCTGGTAGGCAGTCAGAGGACCTGGGGCACCCACGGGGGCGCGCAGACCGTCGCGCTTCCCGCCTCGCGGGGTCTGGGTTCGTGCGGGGGCCGCCCTTCTCCAGGGGGGGCGGCGCGAGGGCGCGAGGGCGCAGGGAGGGGCGCGCATTTTGGGGCGCGGTGCGCCAAGTTGGGCGGCCCAGGTGGCGACGCGGGGGACGCCGCGGGGACGGGGGACGACGCCAGGGGTGTGTGGGTACCATGGCGGGGGCCATGATCTCTCCCCAGACTTCATGGCGCCGCTTCTTGTATTTCAATACCTCCCTGACCCCCCCCCCCCTGGGCAGCACACATGCCGCTGGCCATGATTTGCGCCCCCCTCTTGGCCGCCCTAGGAGGTTTCAGGAGGCCCCAGGAGGCCCCAGGCTCATGCGCAGAGACGCGCTCGTACTACTGAGACTCATTCACACTCCAATTCATTCGCAGTTAGATTCATGACCAGACCGTCACACCTCAAGCCCGCTTATATTCGAACATTCTTGCGCCTAGACGCTCACGGCGGACAGCTCCATGGGGAGCTCCACGCAGTGAATAATTATCATCGTCCTGGTTTCGTCTCAGAACGATCGATTTTCCACGGGCCAATGCGTTGAGCAGATCAGTGCGTCGAGTCTCTGCGGATCGTCGGAGGGTAAGCACTGTGTCAATGGCACGCCGGTCGGAAGACCCGAGCGCCGCGATACGTTTCAAGAAGCAGCAGCTAGTTGGACCAAAAAACGAAACATTAAATCATGCGAGCAGTCTGGTAAGTGGCGCGCGTACCGTTGATGGCATGTCTTTCTTTCTACAGACGCCCCCCCCGCGCCCTGATCCCAAGAATCGGATGTATGATTGTTGTTGGATGCGCGGCCCCCTGGAGGCCCAACCCTTGTCCCCAGGGCTGGCCTCGAATGTGTTTTTGGGCGGCTCCGGGGCCCAGCGAGGGCGCCCCACGAGGCGGGAAGCATCACGAAACCCACACACACGCAACCCAACGAGTGTAATTTGACAGTATACGCTGGAGGCCTGTGGCACCCAGGCATCCGACGGCGCGAGTCGACCCCTGCGCGGCCCGGGGCCGGATCCGTTCTTGCTGGCCCCGGGGCCCGACAGCGGGCCCAGGAGGGCCGACGTCGAGGACGAGCGCCAGGGTCCGAAGCAGCAGTCCTTCGGACGCTTGGGGCAGCCTCTTCAGCCCGTACCCCCCCTCTCCTCCTCCTCCTCCTCCTCCTCCTCCTCCTCCTCCTCCTCCTCCTCCTCCTCCTCCTCCTCCTCCTCCTCGATCCTCCTCCTCCTCCTCCTCCTCCCTCCTCCTCCCTCCTCCTCCTCCTCCTCAACGGAGTGCTCCGAGCAGATGGGGTCGCAGGACCGCGCTGCATCGCCGATGCATCGGCGACGCATCGACGACGCCGGGGTCGGGAACATCGGGCACTGGAGTGCGCTGCATCGTCGACGCGTCGGCGATGCAGCGCGATCCTCCGACCCCGTCTGCTCGGAGACACCACCTGGGCGGCTTGGGCCTCCTGGCAGGCCTTCCGCGCCGAGGCCTCGGGGGCCCACCAGCACGGAGCGCTCTGGGCTCCTCCTGCCTCAGGGGCAGCGACGGGGGGGGGGGGGAAGGGCACAGGGGGGGGGACTCATCGTCCTCCAATCGTCCACTCACCGCCGATAGGGGCCGGATAGCCCACCCTTGCCCAGTAACGGGCGGATTCACCATCGGGGACCCTTCGCCGAAGCATCGGCGATGCATCACCCATTCCAGATCGATGTTTCTCCTTCCCTGTGCAAGCCCCCCCCCCCTATCGGGTCGGGCGAAAGGGGGGGGGGGTTACGAAATCTGCTGCATGCAGCTGGTTTCGGCCCCGCCGCGGGGCCCATTCCTCGATACATGGGCGCCTCCCGGCGCCGGGAGGCGCCGGGAAAATCAGCCACGTGAGCTGATTCTCAAACCCCCCTTTGCTATCCCCCCCTTTCGCCCGACCCGACCCTAGCGGTGCCCCTCGCAGCCCAGTCTGCTCGGAGACCACACCTCCTGGGCATGGCCTGGGCCCCCCCACGGCAGGGCTTCGGCTCCGAGGCCTCCAGGTGGGCCCTCCGGCGCAGGGCGCCGCTCAGCGCGCGGCCCCAGGCATCCGCCATCGCGGTCGTTGAGGTCGGACTTCGAACAAGTCATATCGCTCGAAGGATAAGAAAAACACGAAGATCGCTCGAAGATCGCTCGAAGATCGCTCGAAGAACAAGTCACATCGCTCGAAGATCGCTCGAAGAATAATAACAAAAAACGGACAAGTTGAGCAGCGTGAGTGTGAGCTTTCGGAGCTGGCCGCAGATTTCCTGGATCTGCTCAAGTCGGCGCTGCCGGCGCCGCCCCTGGCGCGCCCCACGCGCCAGGAAGGGGATCAGCGCCGATGCAAGACATCCACGAGGGGCTCCATCATATTATGATCATGCTGTTGTTGTTGTTGTTGTTGTTGTCGTTGTTGTTGTTGATGTTGATGTTGTTGTTGTTGTTGTTGTTGTTGTTGTTGTTGTTGTTGTTGTTGTTGTCGTTGTCGTTGTCGTTGTCGTTGTCGTTGTCGTTGTCGTTTTCGTTGTCGTCGTCCTTGTCCTTGTCGTTGTCGTTGATGATGTTGTTGTTGTTGTTGTTGTTGTTGTGGTTGTTGTGATTGTGATTGTGATTGGTGTTGTTGTTGTTGTTGTTGTTGTTGTTGTTGTGATTGTTGTTGTTGTTGATAAATTCTCACTCCTGAAGAATAATTTTGATTGATCCCCCCACCACCGGTGCATACTGTTTTTTCTCAATCAAAGTGTGCCCCTCGACGCTCGCACCCTGTTTTTTGAAAGGGAAAGTCTTCCTGCTCAAACTGGGCCCCTGGCCCCCCGGTTACAACAATAACGGCTCCCGCCTGAGACTTCCTTACAATTTAGCCATGCAGGACCCCCGCTCCCGCCCGAGACTTCCTCGCATCTTATTCAGGATTCGCGCTCTCGCTTTGGACTTCCTCACAATTTATTCAGGAATCGCTCTCCCAGCGCTCTGGAGTCGCGCTCTCGCTGGAGAGCTACTTGCAACTTACTGAAGAATGGCCTTCCGTTGGAAATTCCTGCAATTTGCCCAAGCGCCGCGCTCCCGACACCCAGGCACCCAAGAGTCGCGCCCGTTGTGGCCCCATGTGCATGCCCTTCGTGGCCCCGCTGTCGCCATTTGTGTCCCCCTCACTGTCCGACGTGGCCCAGTTGCTACCCTCAGTGGCCCCATAGTTGCCTTCTGTGGCCCCGCATTATCTGCACTTCGTGGCCCCCGCTCGTTCGCGCTCTTCGTGGCCCCATACGCATTCCCTTCGTGTCCCCGCTGTCGCCCTTCGTGGCCGACTTCGTGCCCTTCGTGGCCCTGCTGTCGTTCTCTCTCGCTCTCGCTTTCGCTCGTCGTCGCCGTCGTCGTCGTCGTCGCCGTCGTCTTCGACGACGTCGTCGTCGTCGTCTTCGTGGTCGGTTCCCTGTCCGTCCCTCTTGGGGTCGGGTCGACGGTCCGCGGCCGCCCCGCCGATCAGCGCTGCCGCTGGCCAGGCCGACGGTCCGCGGCCGCCCCGCCGCTTGCCGGGGCCCGGCCCGCAGGGAAGAAAGGTATCCCCCCCAAGAGGGGTTCGAGCGAAGACGATGAGGGCGGGTATCGAGGGTTTGGGAAATACGCGTTATTGGACGCTCGAGCATGTAAGGGCGAACAGTCTTGAAAATATTGCTGTTGTTGTTGTTGAACATTATTTATTCTAAAGAATAATTATTGTTGGGCCCCCTGGTGCGCGCCCCCCCTGCGCCGCCTAGGCCGCAGCTACATTTTCATCATTTTCGTGAGGAAGCCTCAGAAAAGAGGGTGTGTACAGGATCCGGTTGTTTTGTTGTAATCCGCTTTCCCTTGCAAAAAACAATAGAAAATGACATTTCTTGTTCTAATATAATCAAATTTCAAGAATCCCTTGCAAAAAATAAGGTAAAGTGGACATTCGCGCGCGCAAGACGAAATCCTTCCAAAACCTTAGTGTTCGCAGCGATTTTAACATAAAAACATCAAAAAACCAATGGTTTTTCAACAAAAAATTGTCAAAATCTCATCCCGCGCGCTCTTGCGGATTCGTAGGAAACCCAACACTTTTTAAACATTTCTGTCAAACGGGCTTTTGCGAGCAACTTTTTCGAACTTCTGCGACAACGGTTGCGCACCTGCCAGGGCCATCATCCCTGTCAAATAATACCATGCGGGACACATTCGTTTTTTCTTCGCGCGCGCACGCCGTCGTCGTCGGCCGCGGGGCCCTGAATAGTAGCCACGGTCGTCCGCATGCCACGAAGTGAAGTGTCCGAACGTCATAGGGCGGGAAGCTGGGTGTGGGTGGTGGCGAAGAGTCGTTTGGAAATTTGGTAGAGCTTGAACCGGCCCCCCCACAAAGTGGGGGTATTGCCCGCCTCCTATGAAAACCCTGGCACTGGTGAGAACGGAGTGTCCCCACGTGCTAGTAATTGTTGTTGTTGTTGTTGTTGTTGTTGTTGGTGTTGGTGGTGGTGGTGGTGGTGGTGGTGGTGTTGTTGTTGTTGCTGTTGCTGTTGCTGTTGCTGTTGCTGTTGCTGTTGCTGTTGCTGTTGCTGTTGATGTTGCTGTTGCTGTTGGTGTTGGTGTTGTTGTTGTTGCTGCTGTTGTTGCTGTTGCTGTTGCTGTTGTTGTTTTTCTTCTTCTTCTTCTTCTTTCTCTTTCCCGAGGCGTTTCTGTTCACGGCCCCTGGGCACAGTGAGGGCCCCCGGAGGCCGAAGACGTCCAGAAGCCCTCCGTCGTGACTCTGGCTCCACGACGCGGGCACGTCTGGGACCATGCCGTCGGAGTCCCGGGGGCGGCAGAGATGCCCAGCGCCGCTGTGAAGACACTGGCGCTGCTCAGCCGGACGCGGGAGGCGAGAGTGTGGTGGAGGTCCGCAGAGCTGTGGATGCACCTCGTCGAAGCCCTAATTCAGTCGGGCCTGTCCCTCGACAGGAGGAGCATGCAAACAGACTCCCAAGATGGTCTGGGGACGATGTATTGATCCTTTTTTGGCTGCTGTTGAGTCTGTTTGGGCTACTCGTCACTTTTCGTCCACGGTCCGCCTGTAGGGGCACATGCCCGACCTGATCGAAGCCCCTCCGCCTGCAGCAGCAACACAGAGCGCCCGACGCCGATCAGGAGCGAAAGAAGGACGTACACGTACATGAATCCACGCTGGTTTCGAGAGATCGCATTGCGCGAATGTTCGTGTCACGCGGCTGGTCTCGCGTTTCAAGGGACCGTGTTCATGTACAAAGCTGGGCGCGTACGTCCTTTGTGGGCTCCCTAGCCGAGGCCGCGCTGGTGCACCTGGTGTCGAGCCACCGCGGCCAGCTGCGGCGCGCCGTGCCCAGCCTGCTCGCGCAGCCCGGGCTGCTGCCGCCCGCGGCGGCCGCGGCGCTGCGGGCGCCGCCGGAGGTCCGAGGCGGGAGGTTAGAGTCCAGGCCGTTCACAGTCGGGGGTGGACAGAACCCCCAATAGTGACACGTCGATTAGTGAATTGTCCGTTTTCGGTTCTCGAGAGGGCGCCGCGGCCGTTATTTTCCAGGCTTGCGCCCGCCAGGTTGGGGCCCGAGGTCGTTTTCACTAAACCACGTTTTACTAAAGGGAGGTCTGTCCATCCCCGACACAGGGGAACACCAAGGGACACAAGCAGAGAAGAACTCGGAGGTCCGCGCGGATTCCTCGGATCGGCGCTGGGGCCCCCCGGCGGCGCCTCCGGCGCCGCCCCTGGCGCGCTCCGCGCGCCATGGAGGTGGGTCCAACGCCGATCCGAGGAATTCGCGCGGCCCTTCGAGGTTTTACGCTACTGTCCCTTTTTTGTTTCCCTAGCTCAAGGATGGGGTCCTGAAGGACGGGGTCCTAAGGACGAGGTGCCTCAAGCAATGTAGGTCCACCCTTGGATCCCGTCCCGACCTCAGGACCCCATCCACGAGGACCCGATCTTTGAACAGCCGAGACACATTGGGCGCTGCGTAATGGGGGGGTCATAAATGGGGGGGCGGCGTGTGTGGTCCGAAAAGGTACCCAAACGGTACCTAAACGAGCCCCCTGGGGCTCCGGAGGGGCCCGAAAGGGGCACGAAAGGGGACCTTTTCTGACCCCCCCATTTGTGACCCCCCCATTAAGCCACGCCCAAACACAGTGTTTGTGAGGGTCTCATCGTGGCCGGGGTTATCGGGCCCGCCCGCCCCCCACCGCCGATGACCTGACCTCCTGGAGGGGGTCGGAGCAGGTGGTGTCGGAGGATCTGCGGCTCGATGTGGAGCCCGATCTCGCCATGCCGACGTCGCCGATGCATCGGCGACACATCGGCGGTTCGTGGAGGCATTTGTAGACACCGTCGAGGAGGCATTTAGAGACACTGCGATACATCGTCTAGTCGGACCCCCTCGAGCAGGCATTCATAAACACAGCGTTCGTGAGGGTAACCCAGGTGGTCGGGCTCGCCCGCCCCCACCCATCCGACAATTTGACCCTGTCCGTGGCGCAGGTCCGCATGGGGTTAAGCGGTGCTGGTGCGCGCGGCAGGCTCCTCCTCCTCCTCCTCCTCCTCCTCCTCCTCCTCCTCCTCCTCCTCCTCCTCTCCCAACGGATAGCCCAGGGCATCGCCGAAGCATACAGAAAACGGTGTCTTACAGTGGAGATCCATGCTAAGAAACAGCCTGTTTGCCTGCAGGGGTCCCTGGGTTTCTCGGGTTTCGATGGTTGTGCGATGGAGAGCGTGACGTTCCCACACCAAAAATCCATTGACGTTCTGGGGTCTCAAGGGTTTCTTGTGGAAGGTTTCTTGTGGACTGGCCTCCACTGCATCGCCGAAAAATGCAAAAACGATGTCTCATCGCGTTGTGGGTAAAGAATCACGGATATCTTGGACGTTTTCGACCTCCAGGGGCCCTCGTCTGCCCCTCGGACCGTTGAACATCAGCTCGAGATGGAACACGGGTTCCGGAAGATGGGTCGGCACCTCTGGGGGCCGGCTTTGTGAGAAGCAATTTGTGTTCAGATTTCGACCAAGCAGATTTTTCAATCTTGGAGTTTTCTTTCGCTTTTGGTCTCCAGGGTGCGTTATCGGGCCTGGGACTATCAGAAACGGAGCCAGGGCGAAAATTCACTCCAGGGGGAGCGGTCGGGACCTGGGGCCGGATCGGACAGAACAATCAGATCGGCGCATGTTTGCTACCGGCCACGGCTGGATTCGCCTCGAAGTTCTGGTCAGAAGGCACCCTGGGAGCGGTCTGGGGAGTAGAGGTGCGGTATCGGTATCTTTTGGTGTCCCAGTTCGTCCATGGCCACCGCTTGGGAAATCGATGTGCGACCACGTGCGAACCCTACCCCTGCGGGTCGAATGGACGCCGTGGTATCGAACACTTCCGTTGGGGTTCATTTGGTTGCACACATTTTTCGAGTATTGAACGCCAGCCAGCGTTTTAGCAATCTGACATGCAGGGTTAGGGTCTACATATGGTTGCCTGATCGATATTCGGGGATCTCACCAGGCGGTGGATATGGATATGGATATGTATACTCAGACCTTCGAGAAGGAGCAACATATGCAATATCCGAGGCCTCTTGGGGTCCCAGGACATCGATTCTCCGCATCTTTTTATACATCCTCACCCCCACTGGGTCATAGTACCTCAGCCACACCACCCTCCCACCCCAGTTGGGGATAATTAGGCCCCGCGAAACCCAGAGGGAACAGCTTATATACATATATATATATATATATGTATATGTATATGTATATGTCTATATGTCTATATGTCTATATGTCTATATGTATGTATGCATGTATGTATGTATGTATGTATGTATGTATGTATGTATGTATGTATGTATGTATATATGTATGTATGTATGTATATATATATATATATATATATATATATATATATATATATCGGTCAGTGGGACCAAGGCTATGCCGGTGGATACCTAGAGGACCGACGCCGTGGCCCCAGCCCCCTGGCACAGGATGCTCGTCCTGAACCGTTTTCTCACGGTCCGGGGGTCGGGCGAGGGCCCCCATAGAGGCCAGAGCCAGCAGCAGCCACAAAAACGGGCCGCTGGGATTCTGTTCACGACGCGAGGGGGTCGGGCGATGGTCAGGAGGGAAAGAAACACACAGACACAATTAATCTTCGAGTCCCAGGAAAATATGGGAAAATATGGGAATTGGGCGGGAAGACAAAAAAAAACAGAAAATATAGGGAAATATGGGGAATCATTTTATTTGTGTGTATTTATTTGTGTGTCCCAGGGCCCCTTCAGATGGGGATCGTCAACAATCGATGTTCAGGTCAGGATGCATCTCTCCTGGGAGGTGAAAGTCAGCATCTGCGCTGGCAGATCCGTGGCCGAACACCGGCATCATGCTTTTCAGTCCAGTTTAATCCGGCCTGACTCGGCTTAATCCAGTATGATTCGGCTTAGCCCGGCTCAATCTTGCATTAATCTAGGCACACTCGGCTCAATGGCCCCGTAATCGGGTTTACCTTGAATCGGTAGTTGGGAAGATACAAATTACCAGCGGCGGGCTTTCTTCAATCCACAAGTTGTGAAGGCCTAGCGGCCGGTGCCGCCGACCCTGAAAGACTTCGACGACGACCAGGAGGGGGAGGGGGAGGAGAAGGAGGAGGAGGAGGAGGAGGAGAAGGAGGCGAAGATAAGGAGGAGGAGGAAGAGGAGGAGGAGGAGGAGGAGAAGGATGAGGAAAAGGACTCCCCCCTGGGCCCCCCCCTGGGGAGGAGGACGCGTTGGAGACGGGAGGAAAGGGGGAGGAGGACCCCCAGGGACGGATGCGCATCTGACTCCCCTCCCCCCCCGGGGACTCCTCCCCACCTGGGGAGGAAGACTCGAGGAAGACGCGTGGGAGAGGAGGACCCCCAGAGGCGATGCGAATCTGACCCCCCCCCACCCCTTCTGGGACCCCCCCGCCCCCCCGCCGGTGAGGGGACACAGGGAAGGGGCCTCTCTTTGACGTAATGAGGACGTGGACGAAATTCCCTCAAGCTGCGAACCCGTTCCCCGAACGAGGAAGGGTGCTCTCTCTCTCTCTCTCTCTCTCTCTCCCCGACGGGAGAGGAGGATGGGAAGGAGGGGGCGAAAAGAGCTTTCCCGTCGACGGGACCGGACCGACACCCCACACACGCCGACAGGGTCGGCGGATTTTTTGAGTGTCGGGGGCCTTTTCGGGGTTGTGTGGTGTATACATGTTCAGCTTCCTCGGGAAACAACGAAACATGTGTACACCAGGACTCCGTCTACAAAAGGGGCCCGCCGTCAATGCAAAAGTGTCAGTGCGGGGTCAGTAAAAAAAAGCGTCGGTGTGTAGAATTCGGTGCCCTACCAAACCTTTCTTTCGAAGACCTCCCAGGAGATGCCTCCCGACCCAGGTCTCCCATTGGAATGCGACGACCCACCACCGCCCCCAGTCCCGACGCACATCCCCGAGCCGGCGATCCAGGGGGTCGGGACTGGGGACATGGAGCGCGTTTTCTCCACCCTTGGACCCCGAAACACCATCCCCACACCTCAGTCCCGACCGCCTGGATCGCGGGCTCGGGGACGGGGTCGGGACCGGGGTGGGGGTGGGATCTCGCCCTTTCATCCCAGGCGGCAGCTGTGGGCGAGCCGCCCGCCCCGCAGGAGGGCCCGCTGGCCGCGGCGCCCGCGGCCGCGGCCGCCCCGCCGCCGCGCGAGCGGCAGGGCGAGCGCCCAGGGGCCTCGGAGTGCGCGGCGGGCGCGGGGGCCGAGGCGTTTGGGCCGCTGCGTCCCCCCCCCGCTTTGTCGGGAACCAGAACATATACACTACCAGTGGCGGGCTGTTTTTCTGCCCAGGGATGTCTTGGAGGATCGGGGAAGACGTCGGGGTGGTTTGGTGCAGACTTTGTTGTCGCCGCTTCGCCAGGGGAACAACGAGGAAGGTATGCGCCATGATGCCCCGTATACACCAGGATCCCCTGCCCCTTGCTGAGAGTTTCAGTACAAGGCCAGAAAAGAAGCGTAGGTGTGAAGAGTTCGGTTCCCTACCGTGTGAGACAGACGCTGGACATCTCGGTCGAGAGCAGATGTGATGCGTTAGCGAGAGTGAGGGGGAGGTTGTAAAGCATCCCCCCTTCCCTCTCGCGACGCCGTTTTGGCCGGGGCCCCTTCCCTTGTCCTCAGGGCCTCCTCTCTCTGCAAGCCAAGCACGACGGGAGGCTCCTGGCAGCATTCGCCCCCTCCGGGGCCCTGGCCGGGCCCGAAAATGGCCCCGGGCCCCAGGATGATGAGCGGGTCCCGAGGCGCCGAAGGAGCCGTCCCCGGCACCCTGACGCCCGCCCCCCCTCTCACCAGGCGCGTTCAGCTTTTTCGCAGA